CATTTGGAAAGCGTACTTGCAAATGAACCTGCAGTTGTTAAGAGGGGCCAACATATTGTTGAAATCAAGCCACAAGTAAACCTTCTCCTCCTTTTTTTGTGCGTCTGTTCCTTTAATGATACACCACAAGCATGTTGCATAATGCTATTCAAAAGTCTTGACGTATCTCTGTGTGCCTTGCAGGGTGTTACCAAAGGAATAGTTGCAGAGAAGGTTCTCTCAATGATGGTTGATAGTGGGAATCCGCCCGATTTTGTTATGTGCATTGGAGATGATAGGTCAGACGAAGACATGTTTGAGAGCATATTAAGCACTGTATCCAGTCCGTCAGTCACTGCTGCCCCTGATATCTTTGCCTGCACTGTTGGGCAAAAGCCAAGCAAAGCCAAGTATTACCTCGATGATACAGCCGATGTTCTTAGACTGCTTGGAGGCCTTGCTAATGCTTCTTGTCCAAAGCCAAGGCATACTGCTCAATTCCAGCTCGCGTTTGGCTCTGTTATTTGAGTGGGCAAACAAGTTGCAGCTCATGTACATAGTTCTGCTTTTGGGAATCTCTTTTACAGATGAGGAATGAGTCCCATCTTCAATCCTAACTTAATGTGATGAATGACTGGATACAGGCTTGGGCATTTCCAAGTTATGCTGGATTCAGGGCTTGAGGTTTGCAGGCTACTTAGTGTAGAAAGTATCATCAGGGCTAGAGTTCCTTTTTCAAAGTACAGTTTTGCAGCAGTCCTGGTGCTTGCCCTGAATGATTTAACAGGCACCGTTACTTTGTACAGATACACGAATCTTTAATATGAATGACAGTTTGGTTTATCTCACTTGAGTTATCTTAATGGATGAAATGCATCGTTTGAATTCTTTATAGCAACTTGTCACCGAGGCGTGTTTTTGCTTGGGGCAATGACTCTGCTAGTGAGGTTCTAACTGAGGCAAGTCTATTGCTGGTTGAAAACTATTTTCAAACCTCCTCTTTGGCCTGGGTTCGCCCCTGGCAGATGAGAATTTTTGGAATGGCTCCCTTCGGAGTTATGCCCTCAAAATAAAAGACGCCTTTCTGAAATGTCATTAAGAAATGACCGATCGACTCATTTCTGCCTTCAAGTAGCAGCAATAGGTGCAAACAAAGATGACTCAGAGAGAGAAAAAATATTTAAAAAGCTGTAGCCTTGAGAGGAGGAGTTATTCATAAGCAAAGTTTTTCGAAAAATCTAACAAGAAAAGTCTAGGACAGTAACTTGCCCATGTGAGTAAAGACGATGAAATCGAAAATATTTCTAGCTTTAGGTCCTGCTTTTGTTATCCGGAAGAAATATTCCTGATATTTTTAGAAGCAATTTCTCTGGTCTCTGGAATGAGAGCTTTGACATAACTGGTAAAGTTGTTGTCATGTGACAAGAAGGTCACGGGTTCGAGTCATGAAAACAACCACTTGCAGAAATACTGGGTAAGACTGTGTACAATAGATCATTGTGGTCTGGTCCTTCCCCAGACTCTGCGCATAGCAGGAGCTTAGTGCACCGGGTTGCTTCAAAAATTTCTCTGCGTCTCTTCAAACAGAAATCGGTAACATACAATTCACCCTATATTTTTACTCACAATATTTGTAAAACTTTGTGTACGGGTAAAATCTAGGCTGAGTTTTCCCCGATTCCCTGATATGGAAACAGGGGGGAAGCAGGCTCGACGTGATTATAATCGAGGCCCAAGAAACCCGTATCAAAACCCGGAGGAATGAACAATGTATTTGAGATCAGGCACGGTGAAATAACGGACCAGACCAAGTATAGCTTCTGGACTTCGAGAAATGCAGAGAACGGTTACTCATGACGAGTAGGGGGCCGTAATATTCGCCCTCAGCCGGATATTACGGTGTGAATTCCGTTCAGTATCAGCTGTAGATTGACATTTACCGGAAAAAGAAGATTTTTACCTTATTTAGACTTGTACTAGGATTGAAATTAGCTATTATATAAAGGGGAAAGTTTTCTTTATTCTTACACATTGTGACACGCAAATCAAAGCATAAAAAGTTTACTTTTGTCTTCTAACTATTGTTCAAAGCATTATTCATTTGTTATTTTCTTTATTCGCGACCGAGCTTGTACCGAAGGTCCAATCGAGGATGAATTCCACTATTCAATCTAAGATCATGCTTTGTCACCTTATTGCGATTTGTTTGATCATTTATTTTGTCTTTAACTCATTTACCTGTTGTTCTTAATCGTTCGTATTGAATTAAATCACATATCCTTTAAACTACGTACAAATTCAATTGTTACTCATTTTTGGGGTAAACAATTTAGTGCCCACCGTGGGGCTAAGGATAATAGTGGTGATTTGATACGAATATCCATAACACCCTATTTTACGCTTGTTCTTTGAAATTTCGATTCCAGGTTAGCGTAAGGATGTCAAACTCTCAGTCTGTTCACTTGAACGTTGACGCTGAGTCAGGCCATTACAACGTGAACAATAACGTGATGCCTAATAATGATGTGCCTCCTATTGATCCCAATGGTGTCCCAGCCGCCGACCCGGTCGATGCTAACTCACAGGTGGCCATCAACATCAATTTACGAATTGATCCCGAAAACAGTGTTCGTGGGGGACCCCGACCAGCGGCTCGAGAAGCGCCCGAAGGTGAAGGTGATGGGTTAAGCCTGCAGTTGATTTTCAAAATGTTGCAGGCTCAACAAGCGGCGATAGCACAGTTGTGGAACCAAAGACACGCCCCTAACATGGTCGAACTCGAATAGTCCTGGGAAAATACTCGAAGGGATGAACAAGTTGTTGTAGAACCGGATGAGCTCAGACCCGAGGAAACTTCCAAGGTGATGAAGATCTCGAAGCATTGACAAAACGGGTGGAGTCAGGCGAGAAAAAGATTGAGGCCAACGACAAGAAGATGGAAACGTACAACTCCAGGGTCGATAAGATCCCGGGAGCGCCTCCGATATTGAAGGGACCGGACTCCAAAACGTTTATTCAGAATCCTTTCCCCTCGAACGCAGCACCGAAGCCAATCCCGAAGAGGTTTCGAATGCCCAATATTCCCAAGTATAATGGGACCGCATATTCAAATGAGCATATAACCTCCTATACATGCGCGATCAAAGGGAACGACTTAGAAGACGACAAAATCGAGTCACTGTTGCTGAAAAAGTTTGGGGAAACCTTGTCCAAGGGAGAGATGATATGGTATCACAACTTGCCTCTGAATTCTATTGACTCGTTTGCTATGCTTGCAGATGCTTTCGTGAAGGCCCATGCCGGAGCCATCAAGGTCGAGACCAGGAAGTCAGGCCTTTTCAAGGTCAAACAGAGGGATAACAAGGTGCTCATGGAGTTCGTGTCGAGATTCTAGATGGAACGAATGGACCTGCCACCAGTTGCGGACGATTGGGCCGTTCAGGCATTCACTCAAGGTCTTAACCCCTGAAGTTCTGTGGCCTCTCAACAGCTGAAACAAATTTTGGTGGAGTACCCAGCGGTTAGCTGGGCCCACGTACACAATAGATATCAATAAAAGATTAGGGTCGAAGACGATCAACTTGGGGCCCATTCGAGTTATGTTTACTCCATTAGGACCGATGACAGATCCAAGAGGAACATTGATCCAAAGCCAAGGCCATTCCGAGATCGATATAAGTCATACATCACGGATCGGAGGGGAAATGGATCCAAGCGCTATCCGACAAGGAACGAGAAGAGAATGATCGAGGACCAAGCGGTCGAGGTCTGATGAGCAAGAACAGGTTTGACAGGTCGCTCAGGAGTAGGGAAGCACCAAAATTAACGGAGTATAATTTCAACGGGGACGCTGCAAGCATATTGTAAGCCATAGGGCGCACCAAAGAGACCAAGTGGCCCCGACCATTGCAGTCCGACCTTGCCTATAGAGATTCTAATTTGATGTGTAAGTACCACGGTACTCAGATCATTGGACCAAATATTTCCGTCAGTTAAGAGAAGAAGTTTCTCGATTGTTCAACAATGGGCACCTCCGAGAATTCCTAAGTGAGAGAGCGAAAAACAACTTCAGAAACAGGGACGACAACAAATAGGTCGAGCAAGAGGAGCCTCAGCACGTAATCAACATGATCATTGGGGGAATCGATGTCCCCAAGGTCCAATGATAAAATGCACTAAAGTATCTATCATGAGGGAAAAACTCACCCAGGATTACATCCCGGAATGAGCTATCTCGTTCAGTGACGAAGACGCCAAGGGCATCGTACAGTCTTACAATGATGCACCAGTAATATCTGTACTTATCAATAAATCTCGGGTTAAGTGTGTGTTGATTGATCCAGATAGCTCGACCAACATCATCAGATCGAGGATCGTAGAGCAACTAGGGTTACAAGATCAAATTGTACTAACAGTTCGGGTATTAAATGGATTCAACATGGTATGTGAGACCACGAAAGGTGAGATAATACCGGTAAACACTGTTGGGACCACCCAAGAAATAAATTTCTACGTGATCGAAGGAGATATGAGGTACAATGCTTTGTTTGGAAGGCCGTGGGTCCACAACATGAGGGCGGTGCCTTCGACCTTACACCAGGCGCTGCAATTTCCCACTCTGGGAGGAGTCAAAACAGTCTATGGAGAACAGGCGACCGCAAGGGAAATGTTCATTGTCAATGAAATGATCCTGGTACCCGCGGTTTCAACATCAAAAAGTGCAGAGCCGACCAGAAAAGAAGAAACTAAATAGCAATCAATGATGCCAGTCTCAACCGAGTCAGAGAAACAAAAAAAGCACGGAGCGGACGATGAGGACGATTACAATGTCCCAAGATCATTTATAGCACCCGATGATACCAACGCCACTAAATTGACAATCGAGGAGTTGGAGCAAGTTATATTGATCGAGGAGTTATAGCTAACACCGATTATTTTGCCTGGTCCCATCTAGACTTGATAGGGATCCCACCGGAGGTAACCACTCACAAGTTAAGCTTGGATCCGAAGTTCCATCCGGTTAAGTAGAAGAGAAGGCTACAGTCCGAGATCAAACACTCATTCATCAAGGACGAGGTATCTAAACTTCTGAAAATAGGTTCCATTCGAGAAGTTAAATACCCGAATTAGTTAGCTAATGTAGTGGTAGTACCTAAAAAAGGAAATAAACTGAGGATGTGTGTAGATTATAAAGATCTAAACAAGGCATGTCCAAAGGACTCTTTCCCTTTTCCTAACATCAATCGAATGGTCGACGCGATGGTCGGCACGAGATACTCAGTTTTCTCGACGCCTACTCCGGGTACAACCAAATTCGGATGGACCTGGGTGATCAAGAAAAGACTTCTTTCATAATCAAGTTTGGCACCTACTGCTATAACATAATGTCGTTTGGATTAAAGAACGCCGATGCCACATACCAACGCCTAGTCAATCGGATGTTCGAAGAACAAATAGGAAAATCAATGGAAGTTTATATTGACGATATGTTGGTCAAGTCCCTGTGAATAGAGGACCATTTGAAACATTTGTAGGAAACCATCGACATATTGAGGAAGTACAACATGGAGCTAAACCCGGATAAGTGTGCATTTGGGGTCGGCTCGGGAAAGTTTCTCGGATTCATGGTATCTAATTGGGGAATAAAGATCAACATCGACAAAATAAAAGCCATAGAGGATATCACCGTAGTTGATAACGTCAAGGCACTACAAAGACTGACTGGGTGGATACCAGCATTAGGTCGGTTCATCTCGAGATCGTCGGATAAGAGTCATCGGCTTTTATCACTATTGAAAAAGAAGAACAATTTTTCTTGGACTCCGGAATGCCAGAAAGCTTTGAAAAAACTCAAGTGATACCT